TCAACACCTAATCTTGAGACCAAGGGTGTAAAACTTGAAAAGCAGTTTCATTATATAAAGGTGACATTTGATAACTTATTATTTGCAAATAGAAATTGTCAATTCCCAGTTTAAAATATACCATTCATAAAAGCATGCAAGGAACATTCCACTGAATACACATTTTTTCAAGTACATTCAGTATTACAGGTTATCTGAAATCATGCTAATTGCTTTTTTGGTTGTCTTTCACAATCGGAATATATTAACCGATATGAATATTATTCGATATGTGGCTGCCGGCTGTGGAACCTTTGGGACTGTGTTCTAAGACTTGTTTATTTTTAATTATGCACAAAGCTACACAAGGGCTATCTGTTCTCTGCCCACCACGGATATCGAAAACCGATTTCTAGCATTGTAAGTCCGCAGACATGCTCATTAGCAATAGGAATATACAAATGAACCACATCTCTCTCTGTTTAGGCAACTGATGTCATTGGAGGACAAAAAAAAACAACACCTTTTTAATCATGCTAAGTTCTGACGTTCGTATGAAATATTTTTCCAAAAAGAAAAACAAACAGAAAAATAAACATATGCATGTAATAGAAGGAGATGGTGAATATCCATTCAAGATGCTACACGAAACGAAAAATTTCAAATAAAAAAGTTAAAAGTGAAAATTACATTTCTTTAGTGTGGAAGATGTTTCTATCGAAAACTGTTCTAAGAATAGAGATGCAGCTGTTGATGAAGTTGCTCTGAGTGATGATAGTCCCAAAAAACAAAAGAAAAATAAAGGATTTCCAAGAAAGATGGCGATTTTTACAGAAAACAGTGAAATATAAAAGTCGTTACTGAAGACAAATAAACTGTTACGCGGGATTATTTCTAGCTTAATATATGCCTATAGAAGATTATATCGATAAAAAAGACGTAATCTTAGAAATTAATAAACTGGTATCTTAACGTTGTGGTCATTGTTCTGCCGAAACTCCATTCGTTTATCAGCTAGCATGAAACAAAAGCTGGAAGACCACACTAAAGCATGATGCCTTTTCGTGGAAGTACTGCTTTAAAAATAAAACAGTATGGTAGTTATTGAAATGTTTTTTACCGACTCATTGTATATAGAAATTGAATAAGTAGGAGTGGACATCTCTATCAACAATCTATATCATAACTATTCAAAGAAGTAATTTTTGTCCAAAATGACTACGACATATCGGAATTTGTTTTACTACTAGGGACACTATTTATGGCCACGTCCTTGAAAAATAATTCATAGTGACTACCTGGATTGCATAATCCTTGCAAAATGTATTGCTTTGTTATTGTGAATGCATCATCATCACTGCCAAAAAGGGTCAAAAGTTAAAATGAAGTCATCAATGTCATCATAAAGGAAAAGGTCATATTGAAAGGCCAGACCAATCTTTTTTAGTCCCGTGCAACTATCATCAAGCACATCTAAGCTGTTCCTCAAATGGTATACTGTTAGCCAAATAACGAAAACAATCTAAGTGAAAAAGGCTCTCCCATTTTTAACTTATCAAATAATATTAAATTTCTGATTCAACGATAAATTTAACTGGTGTATAGTTTTGCTTTGCTCATTTATCCCTGATATTGTATTTATTATAAACTGTTTATCACAAAGATGACATTGTCTTCTTAAGTTTACATTCTCATCAAAATTGTTTATTTTTATGTCATCTGACATTCCGAGACACTTACAATTACAAATACACTTACATGTTATGTTTCGGATGCAAGTAAAACACTGCTATTAAATCATGTATTGCTGTTTGAAATTATGTTGCTAAAAATTTGGAAATAATTCTTTACAGAAAATAATACGATAAACCTGAATATCACAAGATGATTCAGACTCGGGTTCTAAATAAAAAAAAACCGGTATTAAACAAATCTCCTACAAAATATTTGAACCTTGCTGATACAATAAGTTTATCAAATGTTTTGAGTTTCACATGCAACTAAAGCTGAAAATTTCAGCACAAAACTAATATTAAATAAACTCACAGAATCCCACAACTCAAGTTCATCAGTTTTATAGCGCAGAATAACACAAAATAAACTAACTTTATGAATCTCACCCGTAATATATCTCCACGGGTTTCGATATACGATAACACTATAATACCCATACATTTGAAATGCATAGGTAGAACTCAGAAAATGAGGATTTTGACTCTCAGTCAAATGTATTAAATAAATAGTTTTATCGAGTCAATGGTTAATGTTTTGAAAGTCTTATTTCACTAACTACAAATTTCACGAGAATAAATGCGCTAATATTGTGGTAAAATCCTCTTGTTTTTTTAAGGAAGAAAGTCAAACTGGAAGTTGCGTGAGGTACTCATTTGAAAGAGAAATTATTTTTTAACATTTCTAAAATATTTTAAACTGCGTTACTAAAAAAGTTGAATTTTCATTTTATAATTCTATCATAAGGGGTCATGTATGATCTGACAGTTAATTTCTGGACTGTGGATCGAAAGTTCGAACCGTAGTGTGCTCTGAATACACTACGCATGTATATATGCACACACACATTCTACGTGCGTCATGAAGTTCAGAAAAATATGCACGGCTTGAACATGGTAGCAATTAATACACGTTCTGTCAATGCAGTTTTCTGCCAATTAAATCTATAAATTCTCATAGCTATTCTAACTATCTGCCAATCAAAAAGGGTACTTGCAAACGTTGCACTAAAACCAACAACGTGACATCATGATTACTTACGGAAGTGGATTAAGATTACTTGACAGCTCGCATTGACAAGCATTCCCACTTAGCCGTTTTATCATTGTCCCATTTAAAAGAAAAAACGGACTAATTTTAAATGTACATTCTGGATTTACAATTATACTTGCAATGACCCTATTTCAAAAGAAGGTTAAGGGAAAAAAAGGGTCACAGAAACTTGACTATTCTTAGTGACTCTAATGCTGTAGAAATGATTTTAAACTTACGGTACCTTATAAAAACAGACAGGAAACTATTTTTAAAGCTGCAATTTGATTCCAAAGTCTAACTCTGAATATACCAAAAAATACTGACATTATTTCAACCTCTGCCCAGCTCGTTGTAGAAACAAAAAAAAACGCAATTTGAGAGCCATTTCACGAGTGTGTTGCCTTGGGTGAGACTCAACAAGCGTCTTCAGAGCATCAATATCAATTCCAACATGTCGGCCCATGCCATCACAGTTTTTAAAGCAAAATCACTTGAACGAATTTTGCTGAACCTTCTTCGAGATGCATAGGTATTAATTGGTTAGCTTTCTACTTCGCATATGTGATTTTGGAACAACCGAGAATAGTAGGCACATTTCATTACTATTAAATTCCTGGTTCTGTCTATTATTGTATATTGGTTTTTTGTATTACCTTTATTGCATCTTTTTGTGAGACTTTGTCTACTTTCTTATCCGACGTGTTTTTAACTATCATGTTTATGTTCGACTATCATTTATTAGATATTTAAACATTTAAACTTGTGTGAAATAAACTACATCGCTTACGGATCTTATTATAATTTCTGGGGGTTAACAGTAGTTAATATATTTGTGCAGTTAAAACTCTCAAGAGTTGCTATGAATTAGTAAATTTCCGAACAGCAAAATACGAATGTTACTTATCTCAAGTATAACTATTTTCTACAGGTTTTGTTGATTAACTTATTTCGAATGCGTTGATGATTATTTTATTACACATAACATTCCTAATTGAGATATCAACCACTGGGCAAGAAAGTGAATTAAGAATTACATTCTTCTAAACCAGATCTACAAAATTAAACATAGAATATGAGGTAGATTTTTTATGTTGAAAGTTATTAATGTGGTTAACTTGGTCCCTCGGTGTTTCGGGGGTAAGCTTGAGGGCTCATAACGTTAAAATTCGTGGTTCAATCACTGTGATGCACACAGCGCGGATACCCCATTGTGTCGATTGGCATATACACTTAATTTGAGATGTAGGTTTCACTGGAAGCTCTAAAATCAATTTTCGCAGCCCCCCTCCCTTTTTGGAAAGAGCGATTGATACCTCACAAACTTTTATATGTCCTGGTGTCACGTTCTGTGTCCATTTTGAAAGGCATTACCAAAATTCTTAAAAACCACCCTTCTCAACGCAATGTTTCATGGAGGGAGGGTCTGCTATGAATGCGAATACTGGCTCAGAAATCAAACTAACAATTTCCAAGCCATTTGCCAAACAAATTTTGATATTATTATATTAAAACAAGTAATTTTTGTCAAGGTTACTTGTCTACATTAGTTATTTTAAAAGCTTTCCCTATTACATTATCATGTTTGTGTAAGTAAATTACTTTGTTGAACATGATTTAGAGGTTTTGTTTTAACTTCAGATAAAAGCTGCTGGTAGAATACAACTTATTAATAACCTACGATAAAAGCTGCTGGGTGAATACAACCTGTTAATAACCTGCATATATAAGCTGCTGGTAGAATACAACCTGTTAATCCGTGAAAAGGTGGAAATGGAGGGTACATTTCTTCTCCTAAATTTTCATAAATATCATGGATAGGATTGTACTGGTATTTATCATTTTTACCCGTTTGAACCATAATTTAGGATTGAGCTGTGCAGAGAAATAGACATAAGGACTATGACATCTGTTTCAGGTGACGAGACAGCAATGATATCTTCCTTGTGTTGCATCAGAATAATGCAGAATAAGGCTCGTATCTTCTCCTTCCTGTACATTAAAGAGATGATCCACCATTACTGATCCACAGTTTGAAACTCTTTGAATTTCCTGCCTTGTTTGAAAACCAACCTGATACAAAAGGTATCCTGATCAGTGGGTGGTATTGTTGGGCCAACAAATGACAACATTTCATATGTGAATTGAATAAGAGTTGTCTTATTCTTCGAGAAATAAATAAATGCATTCCAATTTTTCAAAGGCTGTGTTTGTGGCCCATGTATTTTGATTTAAATGCTGTCTGATATAAGAATTTAATGGAATTTGTCGTATCATATCTATCAGAGATGACATCAGCACGATTACAGTGTTCATCATACAATGGCTTTGTGACCAACTTCAGTACGTTTTCACTGAGTTAAATAAAAATAAAGGTTGTAGAACCAGAAAATTCAGTCATATGTACTATGACCATTTCACCATCCTTGCATTTTTTGTCATCTTGTCCAGGTGTTAGTGTTATTGATACAGCTATGTTATTTTCTTCTTCAAGCAGCATACTCTTGGCCCCTTTCCTAAATGTGTCAACCTCGTGAGACAGCAACTAGAGAAATGAAGCCAGCTCATATTTGAAAATTTGTGTCGGTTCAAAAGCCAACTCAAACGTGATCACTTGTTTCAGGTCAACAGTCAGCTCAAACGTTATCACTTGTTTCAGGTCAACAGCCAGCTCATACTTGATCACTTGTTTCAGGTCAACAGCCAGCTTATACTTGATCACTTGTTTCAGGTCAACAGCCAGCTTATACAATATTTCTAGCCTTAGTCACTATAACTCTTGTGCTGAACAATTTTCTGTCTGAATTTACAACAGTTACATTTGTGGTAGTGCTGTCATTTTTCTTAGCTGATACTGTCAATAACGCAAAAGTCTGGAGCTTCGTTTTCTTCAAAGGATCAAAGATATGAATGCTTCCCTCATTAAGGCAGAATCCTACAAACTCCATCATTACTGTTACGCCATTGGCTTGCTACATCAACCAGTGCGTTGGTTGTATGCTCAGGGATTACAATTGCTGTGGCAATGTTCACTAAAGTGGTTTCGTCAATACCGAAGGATCCATCTTGTGATATTCAACTGAAAATGTGTTAAAATATAAATGTATGCACATATACTGAAAGGTATATAAAGGTGATAAATTTAATGTTCTACTCCATCACTGAATCACTCACAACCAATGACAGTAGATATGCAATCAATATCAATAATTTTGAAAATCACGTATTTGAGTTTAGCTTGTCACTGATAGTTTTGTAGCTTTTGGGGTGTTGTTTTCTTTTGTATTTGTGTTAGTACAACTAGAACTCAAATCTTGATACATGGAAAGGTTGTATTATTAATTTCTTGCCATCCAGCCTGAACCCTCGAACCTCAACTAGATATCCTTCTCTCTGATTCACTCGACTGATCTAATATACTTTCTGCTATGGTTCTTGCAGCGTATATCAACGTCAAACCTTCTTGAATATTTTACTTAATTTTATTGAAAGGTTCTTTATTAGATGAGAAACAAGGCTGAATGACTTAAAATGTATAAGTTTTCAAAATAAAGATGTCATAAATCTTAGAAGAATTTCGTGTGTGCTGCCAGACTCTTTGGTTGAAGTCAACCACCCATCCGAGAACGCCTCTTTATCAATAGTGTGGAGAGGGGGTTGTTGTTGGTTTCTTAGTGCAAAGCTACACGATGTGCTATATGCACCCTGTCAACCAAGGGAAATCAAATCCCAGATTTTAGCATTGAAAGTCTGTGAATTTAGTGATGACCCATCTGTGGATCTAAGGAGATGAAAATGTGAATTTGAGTATTTTATATATATAAAGTCTGAAACTGCTAATGTTATGTACGACCTCATTAACTTGATAATAAAATTTTGGAAATTGTTTTGTCAAAAATCAATCCGAAAACACGAGTTGTTTATCTTGAAATTCGTCGGCAGTCCTTCGCTAGCGAATACGACGTCTCCTAGGTTGAATGTGTTCTCATGTGACTGAACAGCCGAATTCGAGATTTACATTGTTTGGAACACCTATGACAGATAATGCTCAGAGGAAGACGTTGTCGCAAAAAAAGGGTTGGTTTCTTTCTCTTCCCCTTTCGTTGCTTTTGCTTCTCGTTTTCCCCTCGATCAATTTTCGAATGTTTCTGTCGCATGATGGATTAGACGACGCCAATGGGAACAGTGAGGCACATCTTCCTCCCATGTGTTGAGGTTGATGGATACTTTATTTTGAAGTTGGATTTCAGGTTATCCTTCCATCCTTTTGCTTGTCCACCCCGACAACGTGTGTGGTGATGAAGTTCCGAGAAGAGGACTTGACAAGGAAGGCAATGTTCCTGCATACAGAGACAGTGACAGCCCCAATGAAGTTGATCTTTTATCAGCTGGACTTCAGTGCCTGTGAAATCGTCGTCTCGAGGACGCTGATGTTGGTTCTTCTATCATCCCATTTGATTCAAAGGGTTCGACGAATGGAATCCCTCAAGGGCTTTGATGCGTCTTCTGTACACTGTCCATGTTTCGCTACCCTATAGGATAACAGTGATGACCATCGTATTGTAAACCATCAACTTGGTTTTCTTTCTCATATCTTTGTCGTCGAATACGTGTTGTCTTAGTCTGTAAAAAACATTTCAAGCACAGCGTATTCTGCTTTCAACTTCCTTATTAATATTGGTGTTCGAAGATAGATGACTGCCAAGATACGGAAAGTAATCCACGCATTCCAGTGGTTCTCCATCGACAAATATTTCGGGCGGTTTGAAGTTTGGTCTCGAAGGTTTCGGTTGAAAGATGATTTTGTATTTTATTTTCGTATTCATGGAGAGTCCAAATTTCTTATAAGAAGAGTTAATGAGATCCATTGTCGTTTGCATGTCAATAGGATTGTGGACGATTATACACAGTCATGGACATATTGGAGATCATTGAGGACGATTGTATCTTGAAATTACTGGGATACCGAATGGTGTGTTGTATCTAACTGCGCACTATAAAAATATTGAGCGCCCCCCAGTGGCACAGCGGTATGTCTGCGGACTTACAACGCTAGAAACCGGGTTTCGATACCCGTGGTGGGCAGAGCACAGATAGCCCTGATGTAGCTTTGTGCATAATTAAAAACAAAAAACAAACAAACAAAAATATTGAGGAGATACATATTACATTGTACATTTATGATTTCATGTAAGATACAGGGATTCTAAAGATGTAATAGCAAATTTTCCTTCTATCATGCTTAAAAACTATTGATATTTGTTAATTCCTGAACTAATAAAATATATACCGAATATACTTAGAGATGGCAGACACGTGTGAGAAATAAGGCTGACTCAATACAGCACATATATTTAAAGTAATGATAAGAAATGGCCCTTTTTTATGTGTCTATGTATCCATTTGCTAAATCTAGAGAGTAACTTGTAAAAATGTACGGAGCTAAGCAATAATAGATGCTAAACTCTCCGAATAGGGGAGTAAATGGAAATTTGGAGGGGCAGGTATATCGTATTTTGAAAGTTAGCATTTCTCAGTTTATTAGTTTCTTACTACATTGGTACAAACCCACCAAAAATTAATACGAAACGACAAGAACTCGACTTCTTGATATTAGTAAGTTTGGGAGGACTTGTGATTGAAAACTAACATATGACTCAATAGTAGAAGGCTGGAAGGTCTTGAAGACCTATCTGCTATTAGTTTTAGGGCGCGCACGTGCATGTGTGAGTTCCTAGTACTTTTGCAAGCGTGAACAGTGATAGTGTTCCCGTAATATGTAAAATGAAACCGGTACACAAATCACGGTGATCTCACTATGCTCACAAAGATGCCATTTTTTACATACGTAATTGTATATATGATATATAAAAAATTGGTCATTTTTATTGCACGAGAACTCTAAATTTTAAGTTTTTGTAGTTAAGCACAAAGCTACACAAAAGTTATCTGTGCTCTGCCTACTACGAGTATCGAAACCCGGTTTCTAGCGTTGTAAGTCCGCAGACATACCGCTGTTCCACTGGGTAGGGGCGTAAATTTGGCACACATGAACACTGCTCAGAAGAAACTATGAAGGAACGCTTTGTTTTCTTTATGGTAACAGACTATGTTGCATGATGGCTTGCCAGGCAATACCTTTCATGCACAATGTATTTTACGCTAACTTTCTTCAGTTGAAGCGTTTTGAATATATATTAGAAGGTCCCTTTCGAAATACTGGATTATTCGATGACCTAAACATTAGAAAATAAGTCGATATTTTTATTCTTACTTCATTTATTTTTGGTATACTTGGCTAAGAAAATTTGGAATAAGAATTCAGTTCCAAAACCCTAGATTTTAGCTTTAATATATAACACTTAATTTGCATGTGAGGTATATCTATCATAAAGAACGATACAAAGATAAACTTATAAAACAGCCCAAAATTGTATAAATTCACAGAATTTATACTTCAAATAATACAGATCATATTGTTATGAAATCAAAAATGCTTAATATTACTGAACAATTCTCTGAAGAGTACTAATAGATTTGACGACTAGCAATCTATCTGTCTGTGCTGTTTATTCGCAGCAGTCAATTTTTACTGTTACTAGTTTTATTTTCGTGGGTGCTATGATTGGCTTGTATGCATTCCTAAATGTTAGCTTGACCAGTCTTTAGAAAAAAATTCATAACAACATAGGAGTTTTAATTGGAACAAGTAGTTACATGCATGTCACGTGAGAGCTTATTAGTGCGAAAATAGTAGTACTCTATATAGGCTCCGCCATTACACTGGATCAACGACTAATGGCAATATAACAAATTCATGCACCGATGCCATCTATTGATGTAAATCAGTAACAGTTAGCTCTAAAGGAAAACCTTAACCTCTGTTTACAAACGCACTCTAGGTTGTTTAAATCGATTTATGACTACATAAAGTAATTGAAAAACCATGTAAAATATCGCAAAATTGAGACGTGTTCAAAATGATCCCGATATGTTATGGTTGACTATTCATATGATAATTATTTTTTAAACGATTGTCTGGATTATGTTAAGGTGTGATTATAAAAAGACGGAAACAATCATAATTCCATTCGATGTAAAAATTATCAAAATATATGAATAATATATTTGTATAAGCAAGTAAGCAATAGTTGGTTGAAGTAAATTTCTGCGAGTTATGGTCGATAAGAGCTTTTCGTTGTCATTGTTATAAAGTTATAACTAGTAGCTATACAAGTCACAATTCACGTGACTATAACTAGCCTATAAACTAAACCTTTTGTGTAAGAATAAACAAGTATTTAGGCTTTGTATTTGAAAATAACTTTAGTGTATAAAACGAGTTTTAATAGATCTTTGTTACAGAACCAGAAAACATAAGTTTTCCGTCAAAGGAATTTAATGTTCAAGATTTGATTTTATTGTGATTTATTGAAAACCGTTATCTAGCATGTAGTGTTATATACTTACATATACATGCTAAAAAACATAGAGTGTTGGATTCTTCTAATTTATACGTATTAAATACACTGCTCTGACAAAACTGCTCGGACATCCCTTAAACACCTTAAGTGACCCGACAAGTATGCCACATAAATTTATACTCTCGAAGTAAGATGCTTCAGTGTCATGAACTGAACTTAGGAGATTATGGGATGCCGAAAATGTGAAATATTTATAAGCAAACTTATTATTATGTTTGTCACTTGCGATCTATATCTCCAAATTTTTTAAACTTCTTTTGCCAAAAATCCATCCGAACACATTGGTTGTTTATCTGGAAATTGCTGAGGTACGAATGGTGTGATATATCTGGTCATGAGCCGATGAAAATGTACCGAGAACTTGGTAGTACAATATATTAACAACTTTAAGGTCGGGTAAAAGTGATATCTTTATGTGATACGCATTCACTTGTAAAAATTTTGAAAAACAATGCAGGAAATTATTCTTGGAATTAATTCACCTGTGTCTACAAGTTAACATACACCATTTGTGAGATATGTACTCTGCTTCCCTTGTATAAATTAGGAAACTGGGATACGTAAATCGTGCTTAAATTTACCAAATTCACGAAGCCACAAGTGCAATAATCACCAAAAATTATAATCTTCTCTAAATTTCACAATTTCAAATAATAAATATGTTTTATATAACCAAGAAATGGTTCGGTTCTGTTATCGCTCGTCGAAAGGCATTGTTCTTAACTTGTTTTCGTGATGGACGAAATAAAAACTTTCGTAAAACACAAAAAAAGTATTGTCATTTGTTGTGAATTTAAAATGAATGCTACAAAAGGGTTACTGTTTATTTATATATTTTTTTATTTGTGGGTATTCTGAGATAATAGATGTTTAGAGGTTTAAGTCAAACTGACATATTTTTTTTCTTGGTGCCAGTGTTGTTCCAAACCCTCTGTGGGTTTGCTCACCTGTTCGATAAAGAAAGACTTTTCCGTTTTTGGATTGGAATGCGACCTGTTGTAGCTTTTTACAAGCCTGAAACCGTCGAGGTAAATTATATTTTAACTCTGTGCCTGATTTTGCTTCTCTTTTCAGCAGAACTTCAATTTTTTAAAAGTATAATAAACCTGTATTAATGTTGTCTGGAAAAGAAAGTTCAAAACAGATTCAAACTGGATCTTCAATGTTTTAAAATAACTGGAATTTTTAATACTATTTGGACATACCATGTTGAATGTTAATTACTGGTTAAATTATAATACGATTCTAGTAGATTACAAATTCGCAATCTTACTTTCAAAAATCATTTTAACCAAACAAAATATCTCTATAAATTGAGTTATTTGTGTACATAATTATATGATGGATGTTGTTTTTTGTTTACATTCTATATTCACAAAAATAATAATTTCTAATGATTATTAATATTATTAATTAATAATAATAATAATAATTACTATTTTTCTTTTTTATCTAAAGCTGAAAACTATGTTATATACATATACACAGTGTGGTCACAAGTAAATAGACACCACCTTTTCAGAAAAAAAAATGAAATTTTTCCGTCATATTCACATGAATTGATATATTTATAATTTAATTAATATC